GAAATTCCCTTGGTGTGTGTGTGTGTGTGTGTGTGTGTGTGTGTGTGTGTGTGTGTGTGTGTGTGTGTGTGTGTGTGTGTGTGTGTGTGTGTGTGTGTGACACACACACACACACACACACACACACACACACACACACACACACACACACACACACACACACACACACACACACACACACACACACCAAGGGAATTTCATCATCTTATTGTGCTATGAGAGACCTAGCGGGTCATTCTCGGGCTCTGAGAAATGGATTATTTTCTCTGTCTCTCTCTGGATGATCTTATCCTGATAAGATGAAAAGAAGCCAAGTTGAGTCAGTGCGTATGTGAGATTAGAGGGCCTGCGGTATCCTGACACTATTTTCTTCATGATGTGCACAAACCAGCCAGAGTGATAATGTGCTCTGGAGAGAGTGGAAAAATGCTGCTCTCCTACAGAGTGAGTGGGCACTGAGAGAGCAGATAGGCATTAATGCTAAGCGTTTTGGGTTTAACTTGCTCTCACATGAGCAGAGCATGATGGATTGAGAACTCCGCTGGTGGTGCTGGTGGTGGGCAGGATGGGAACTGTGTGGGGGTGTGATTGGAGCTTAGGGGGCTTCATGGAGTCTGGTCCTGTGCCAGCGGGGTATAAGGGTTCAGTGTGTGAGGAGACAGTGCCCCCTCTCCCCCTGCCTGTCTCTTATTCTCTCTCTCTCAGGAAAGACATGACTGTCAGTCAGCAGGAGGCAGCAGCTATAATGTCAGTCAGCAGGCAGCACCTTCTTCATAATTTCTTGCGTTCCCTGTCACTCCTGATCCACAATGTAGCCGTCTAGATTTAAAAGAACTGATGTTTTGCACAAATGTGTGAAAAGAAACCACCATGTGTGTACAGATGCTTGGCAGAGTGTGTGTGCATACGTTTGTGTGTGTGTGTGACCTCCAACATATTACAACCTGCTTGTTACGAGAGACGAGACCTTCTTTACCTCACAGATTATAGGCACTGAGGGACCACCACACGGCCCCTCCCTTTTAACCCCCCCCCCCGTTCCTGCCAGATGCTAACCTGCATATTAGCCCTGCATGTATGAGTGTGTGTGTACGTGTGTTTGTGTGTGTGTGTGTGTGTGTGTGTGTGTGTGCAGTTTAACCATTACCTATCTGAGTCAAAGGGCAGCATAACAGTGAATGTGCATAAGGGCACTGTACTTGTGCATGTAATGACTTTATGTCTGCGTGCCAACACATATTTATATCCCCTGCCTGAGCTCCCTTTGCTTCATTAACAAACAACAAAAGTTTCAAAAGCAGCGTGTGTTATGGAGCATGTGTGTGTGTGTGTGTGTGTGTGTGTGTGTGTGTGTGTGTGTGTGTGTGTGTGTGTGTGTGTGTGTGTGTGTGTGAGAGAGAGAGTGTGTAAGTGTGTGTCATAGAGCCAACATGTGGTTCAGATTTCCTCTGTGGCCACATGGGCAAACACACGGTAAGGCAGAGCAGTTGGATATCAGTAGGGGGCGCTATGGTGCTGCTCCAACATACAGACACACACCTCTCTAAGAATACACATTATCATCACAATGTTTTTATTATTTTCTCATGTTCATTCTTTATTTTTTCTGTACCCTGTGTTTTATTCCATGAAACAAGTTGTGTATTTGAATTCATCTGTGGCATTCAGTTTCTTACCCATGCTCATCTTGATTGGCAGCTTCTCTTTGCTGGCTGTTTCCACTAGTTGCCGACGGACCTCCATCACCCCCTCTTTATGTTTATTGGTCAGCATGGCTTCCCACAGAGTCTGAGCTGCTGGTGACCTGGTTGGAAAAACAGTCAGACAGATCATTAAGTCATGAGGAGAGAAAAAAAATAGTGTGGTTAAAAAAAAGAACAGCATTAACAAGCTGTTGCTGCTCATGCCGTTTGCTCAGAACAGGCAGGACTCTGACTATACAAACGAAAGGGACAACATGGACGTGATTGAAGGCTCGTCTCAGTGATAGAGAGCCTGCTGGTCGGGGAGTGACGACTCCCCTATGGGACCCCTCACAGGAAAAAACTGAAATTAGCAGAGGGAACATTAGGAATGTTTTCAATCCACCTAAAAAGTCTGTGTGCCAACATTCCTCCGGACCGATCAGTGCTGTCCTTACATCAGGGGCAGAGCAGCAGAGCCTGGAGACCAAGGCTCCTCTTGATACCATCTCAGTCCCTCGTCTCATTATCCGCTAGGTTATGAAACACACTGATCCACATCTTTAATGGGTAACTGAGGACAAGGCATGTGCGTAAGACTACTACCATCTGTTAGGAGCAGTGGAAACAGCTTCAAGTCATTCTCCGAAAGAAACAAAGAGTGTCCTGCAGATAAGTGTCCTAGATAGTCACAATTTATCTTATAAAACGTTCTGAATTCAAGCTACTCAATTGGTCTTCTCTCAGATGTCTTGCCCTGTTAAAGACAGTGACACATTGTTGGCTGGATAAAAGGGCATCAAAGGCTTACATCTATGTCTTTGCCTTTGACAGCAAGATTGACAAGAAGACCCTATCTTCTCTCAGGAGTGACCAGAAACTGAACTGAGGGAGACAAAGAGAGAAAATAGGCTGAGGACACAGAGGAGGGAGGGGAGGAGGGAGCTCGTTGACGAATCCACTCTGTTTTTTCTTTTCTTTCTGTTTTAACTTTTTTCTCCCTACTTTTTTCCTTTCTTACTGCCATCTGTTTAATATCAGATGAAATCAGTTCCAGACCTTAGGCTGGGGCTAGATGGGGAGTAGAGGGGCTCACACTGGGAGGCCCGCCATCTTCACACTAGAACCAGACACAAAGACCGGCGAACACGACTCAGCCAGGACAAAAGTCTAATGTAAAAACAGTTACAGTGAAAACAGAAAGAAAGTTCAAGAATCAAGAAAGATGAATCAGGTTTTCAATTCCAGTCTCGCAATTTCAATTGCTTATAATGAGATTAAGACACAGATACAACGTTGTAGCTATTGGTCAGTCAGACTCAAGAGCTATGACAGGGTTTCATTTCTGGAGAACACTCGTAATCCTTCAGAAAACACCTCCCATGCTCTTGATGGACTGTCAGGACTGCCAGGGATTACGCAAATGTTGAAGTCCTGCATACTTGTCATGGTTGAAATACCAATGGGGTGACTTGACCAGCCCAACACATGCATCGGTATATGTTTGCACACACCACTGTGCATCTGTGTGTGTATTTGGAAGACTGAGGGCTAGAGTAGAGTGTGGATGAAATATGGTTCCAATTTGGCTCAACCAGCCCCCCCGCCAACTGGCCCCCCTCCCCTGACGCTTACCCTTGGCCATTTGGTCAGACGAAGGCGGGGGTGCAAGCTGGGCCTGGGGGTGAGGTTTATACTGGCAGGGTGTGAGACAGGCTCCATAAGCGGCCAGGAACCGTGTTGAGTAACTTCACTACTATGGAAGAGAGAGAGGGGGGGGGGGAAACGTTAAGCGCAGTATGGCTCTATTTGTTGCAAAGGCTACTCAGATCTAGACTGAAGGGGGCAGCCTCGCTCTTGGGTTGTGTAACCACAGTGAACATCCTCTCTGACTGACTCTCTCTGAATTCCACTAGATGTGTAATAAGTGTTGTACAAATAAAAGGCAGTTAAGTATCAAATACTGGAATTTTAAGAAAGATGTGCGTACTACGAGAAGAATGAACTCATACGATCATTAAAGGGATGAAATACCCCATGACCGGGTCCAACAAATTAATGAGTGTGGGGGTGAGGAGGGGGATAGTATTCCTGGAAGAGGGTGATGCAGCAGAAAAGAATGGCTCCAACCGTTCTGACTCAGGATTTCTCAAATGTACTCCCCATCCTGTGGCCCCATCAACATTTGGTTGAACATGCTCACACATTTCAGTGTGTATTTCCTTACTTTGACCTCAGACGAACAAGCTTATACCGTAAGTACAGTAAAGTGATTCAAAAGTGATTCATACACAAAAGGTAAGTTCCCCCAAATAACAAAAAACACATCTTCTCACTTACCTCTAGTAGTGTCTCGCTTTATCATTTTCACTGATCACTTTTTGAGATTTGTCTGTACATTTAGTAACACGACCAGTTGAACATTTGATGGGCATTCAATGGACAGGTTACTTTTATTATTTCTGAAAAGGCCAATTGCTGTTAAAATGTGTTTCTATTTTTCTCAATGTCACCCTATTAACAAAATGAAAAGTGCATCTTTTTGCATTGACTGTAGAAATCTTGGATAAAGGTATCATAAAATCATTCTTTCTGCATGGCTGGAAACCACTAGAGGTAAATGTGAAAATAATAATTTGGTTGCCTATAGCACAGGCACTGAGATGTGATTAAAGCTTGTGTGTGTGTGTGTGTGTGTGTGTGTGTATTTTCAAACAGGTCAATGTGTACTGTATGTAAAAGATTCTGCCTAACAGGATTGTGCAAGGTCAGCTGCAATCCCTCAGTGAGTTAATTTATGAAGTGTGTTTAATGGGGCAAAACACACTGTCGGTTTCCTGTAAACATCCTCATGTACATGTGAGGGAAAGCGAGGTGGACCAAAACCAGACCTGGCCTGGCCTTGAGTGTCTGCGTGTCCTGGCAAGAGGGACAAATGACCCAGCGGATTTATTGGGAGAGAAAAAGGGCAAGAGGAGTTCTGCAGGAAGTGGGGATAGGAGAGGAGGGACGTACTAAAAACACACCAACGCAGAAGTACCAGGAGCGCTCATTGGCCACCTCCGTCCAGTCAAAACTCCATATCTAGCTTTTTTTCTATTAAAGAATAGGGAAATACATCGTTGTTAACATCCTCAAGAAGCACAAAGTATGTGTTAGAATGAAAAAAAAATCTTCAAATGCTAATTACAAGAGCAAGAATCTTTCCATTAATGAACATTTCTAGTGTGTCAGGTAAACGTTTATGAATGATTTACACAGTAACAGTTTATGCATTTACAGATTTGTTGGGGGAAAAACTCCAATTAACATCCATTCAGAATTTGTGATGTTGGCTGTATTTGTAAAATTGGAACACGAAACAATGTCAAGTATTTTCAAAAACCTTTAGAAACGTTCTTATATTGCAATGTAGGCTAAATGTTCAAATGCTGGAGAAGGTGAGAAAATAAAGGGAGATGTTTGAGGGAGGTTCTTCCTCCTCTCATGTTCCTTGACTAGTTTACCATTTCAAATGAGAGCCAACAGTAGGGGCTCTTTGAAGGAGAAGGACTGGAGGATTTTAAGTATCATCTTCAGGGGGTGTTTTATTATCTAACTGAATAAATGCATGCTCACTCTTTCCCAAAGAGAAGGTGGGAGCTGCAGTGTATATCAAATTACAGAGTGGAAGAAGGCATACAAGACAGAATAGGTTATGTTATCTCAGTCTTGATGGGAACACGGAGTACAAGTTGCTCAGGTGAAAGTAATCTACTTGATTGATGTACTGAGGGTTTCAGGATGAGATACGCTCTACACCCGGGGAGAAAGAAGAATTCGGCAGCGGAAGAGACAGAGACACAACATCTGAAATGGACCAGGGGACATGTCAGCTCACTGGATTCGAAGATATGGCTGAATCCCTGCATCTCCAATAAATATAGAAATACAGAATACAGAAATTCGAAACACTATTTGTTATCTCTGTTCGAGTTATCATTGACCTTTAGGGTAGTCTTGATGAAATCAGGGTGATAAGTTATAAGATGAAAGCAGCTAAACGGTGTTACTTTACTTTACGCATTTGACCCAGAGGGAAAATTGTTCCCTTTTTGTGAAATTGTGACTATTATAGTCCCATTGGACTCTCACTGACGTGTGGAAGGCTGCAATTTCCATCAAGTGCAAAGTTGTATTCTACAAGAAAAAACTAATTTCTGTTGGCATGACTACCTGAACTGACTAATATGTATCATTAGTTGTAGGTTAACATCATTGAATTGCCTAACTTCAAGTTGAGTAAGTATAACAAACAGAATGTACCCTATGAGGAGCCACCATAGAATGAATATGTTGTTTTTATTCTTGGTGGGGTAATCCAGGGCTAGCTGTCCTCAGTCATTTGCTCTCTCCTCTCCACACTCTACTATCTCTGTTGTTTTTGTTTCTTTTCCCCATACAGCGTGAACTCGGAGTGCATAGCTTTTTATTCAGGCTCCTTTTTCCCAGCTAGGACAGAAATAGGTGTTTTCCCTCCTTCCTGGTGGTACCCATGCATGATGTGCTGGGCAGAATTGAGGAGATGGCCGCCTCGCTGTGTTTTCTTATGGCAGGGTGCGGTCGCTTGCTCTGGCTGGCTCAAGCTCAGCAGCTCCTGAGGCAGACCCAGAGCACCTTGGCCACCCGTACTGGGTTCTGCCCACAGGCACACACTCCCACCACAGGATCAAGGTCGAAGACGACCAGATGACGGGGGTGCAGGGTTCAGTGTGAGACTGAAGGAAACTTGGTGCCCTCTGCCAGTGGGGTTCATATGTCTTCCTCAAGATCACAAGAGCTGTGCAGCCAAGCACAGCAAATTACACAGACTGGGCTGGAAGGTACCTGACCACAAACACACATATACACAAAACAACCCTCCCACTGCCACTTTCACTCAACATCCTTCTATATACAGCTAACTGTTCTTCCTGGCACTATTTAATAGCAGGGGAAAATGGCATAGTTAAAGAATGGCGAAACAAAATACCAGAGCAGGCAAAATGTCTGTGCATATACACCCACACAAAGTATACTTTGTCTCAGGCTTAATACCTGGAACCACAGAGTAAAAGTCAGGTTGTAGGATAAAGAAAATTCA